TTCCAGCCCAGGAGGGAAATCTTCCCCAGCCCTAGACTGATGGCAGCTCTCCTTCCCCACCTGGCAGCACTGCCTTCCCCCAGCTCCAAACACAGTGTGCACAGATTGGCCTGGGGGTCATGGCTGAGCCTCCAGCCAGGGGTGGACAATCCTGGGAGCTCACTGCTGTTGTCCATCATGGCTGTATTGAAAAGCCTGGCTTTTGAGGGTGTTGGGGTAAAACCCTTGCCTATCACTGCCCATAATTCTCAGATGGATTTTCAAACTAGACAGATGCTCAGCTTAAACAGAAGTTGATGAAAACATTTCTAAGAGTTAAATATATTTCCAAAAAAAGTAAGCCATGGGAAAATCCCAGTGAGCACCTGGCCACACCTCTAGCAGCCCATCACCTTTTACATCATGTCTGTCAGCAACAAAAACTCTGCCTTTCCTTATCACACTGGTACAAAAACCCAGATAAAACTCCAGGGAAGAGGGTGAGGGAGAGGATGCACTGCAAGCTGACTGGCCGGGGTGACCCCAGCCAAGGGTGGCTGAGAGCAGCTGGCTGCCAGCCCACAGCCCCCCTGCACTCTGGAGCAGCAGGCTGGGAGCAGCCCAGGCACTGAGCATGGGGCAGCCCCCAGGTGCAGCCAGAGCTCCCCTCTGCCAGGTGAGGTGTCCGTTCCACACACAGGCTGGTACATTGGGAATCTTATGGTTACTGCTGAAATTAGGTCATTCAAATCTCCTGAATTCAAATTATGGAGTTCTGGCATTTACATTTTAACAACGGTTTTCCCCTCCCTTCCATGTTTTACATGTGCAGATGGTTCTGACACATGCTACCCAATGCTTTTTTGTTGATGTAGGTTTTTGGGTTGGTTTTTTTTGGGCTTTTTTTTTTTTTTCCTTTGCAAACCAGAAAGCTGCTCTAGGAAACCTAATGGATGAATTGTCTGTTCTCCAACTTAATGAAGCTGGTGCCAAGCTTCCAAGCAAGAGCCATCAGGAAGCTTTCAACCATAATGCTCAAGACAGAGCTTTTACATATGAAGTGGAACAGAAATCTCGGTGCTGTCCCAGCCCAGCAGGGAGAGGGAAGGCTGTGGCACAGCTGGCAGCAGTGGCACAGCATCACCTCACTGCTTGGCAGGGCTGTGGGCAAGAGCAGGAGTGGGAAGCCTGAGCTGCAGCTGTGCAGCAGAATGGCAGCAGGGTGAGGAGAGCTGTCCTGGGGGAGCACACTCAGAGCTCCCTCTAACTGCACATCTTGAGTGAACCAGCAGCACAGACACTGGGCACAGCAGCTGGCACAGCCCCATGCCAGGGCTGCTGCTCAGACTGGGGATTTCTCATCAGAGACCTCCCAATGGAAGGAAGTGCTGCTAGCACCTTCAAACCACAAAGTCTGGGCACAGCAGCTGGCACGGCCCCATGCCAGGGCTGCTGCTCAGACTGGGGATTTATCATCAGAGACCTCCCAATGGAAGTGCTGCTAGCACCTTCAAACCAGAAAGTTTGGACTGCCTTCAGTTATTGCCTGACCTCAACAAACTCAGCACCTCAGAACAGGAGGGTTCCCCAAGCCAGCCTCAGCTCTTACCATCCACATCAGGAAAGTTCCCAGCAGCCTCCTATGAGCACGCCTGGAGCTCAAACCATGAGCTGAGCTCACCCTGCCTTTTCCTGGAAGAAGAGAGGGTAACTCCTGGCAAACAGGGTTTATCCCAGTCTATCACTGCTCTGGGGGTTGGCTCAGAATCTGTCACTGATGTCTGGGTGATGTGGGGGTGGCAGTGGCCAAGGACACAGGTGATTAAGGTGTGGCTTCCTGCAGAGACAGGCAGAGCAAACCCTGGGGTTCTGCTGCAAAGTGCTCTGAGCACTCAAACCTTGGGCCGAAAATAGGCCAGGAAGGGTCTCTGGAGGCACCACTCACAGACAGGAGGCCAGGCAAGAAAGAGGGAAACACCTTTTCCTTTTCTTTTGTTCTACCACCAGCAGCATGCCAGACTCAATTCATGCTGCAGTTGTGCCTTTTCTTTTGTTCTACCACCAGCAGCATGCCAGACTCAATTCATGCTGCGGTTGTGCCATCTCCTCCTCCCCTTCCCCCTCCTCCTCCTCCCAGGTGTGAGCAGGTATCTCCTCCTCCTCTTCCTCCTCCTCCTCCTCCCAGGTGTGAGCAGGCGATTCACTGCCCTCAAACACATCTCAGCCATGTCCCAGCTGGACTGCACAGCTGAGACACACCATTTCCTACAGCAGGAACCTGCTTGGGCATATCAAATGGGCCTAAATAAGAAGACAAAACCACTTAGATAGTAGAAATTCCCCAGCTGGACTCTCTGCTGGGTCTTATTACAGCCTCCATGTCTGGAGAGTTTTGTATTATCATATTTTATAGAATATTGGATAAAGGTGACAACAGGAGAAACAGTGAGGAAAATTATAATAACCTCAGGAAAAACAAAACCAGATTATTGATCATAAAACTGAGACAGTTACAGATTTAAAATGAAGGTTTGGTTTAATTTCTATGTTCTCCAGTCTCACAGGTCTCAAACAGAGTCTCTGTTTGATTATTTGAAATATTTGATTGTTAGGTTTTCCAGAAAAAGATGAGAAGTCTTAGCTCCAAGTTTATCCAAGACATATTCTTTTGCCTTCACAATAAAAGTGCACAGGATGGAAACAGCCTGGCTGAGCAGGTCCCAGCACAACACAGCAATCATCCTGCCTCCCACAGAATGGTAAGAGGGCTTTTGCTTCTTGAGCCATCCCATTGGAGGCATGGGGCAGACATGATCTGCCTGCAACCACTACTTTTGATGGCTAAAAAAGTTAATTAGAACTTCTGAAACAATGAGACATCCGATTTTTGAAATATGATTCATCCTGTGTCTGCACAAGTCTCCTGAGGGTCATTTTCATAGTAAATTAATCTCCCTCATATCAGACTGGAGCTATCAGCAGTGACACCACGGCCACAGTGGTGGCAGCAGCAGTGGCCGTGCTGCAGAGGCGTGGGGGTGACGCTGATGATATTGAGTCTGACAACACAAAAAATTAGCTGAAATTAAAATAGCTCAAATGGCACCAAGGGCAACAGAGGCTTTTCCAGCCCCTGGCCATGTCTCTGGACACAAGCTCTGTTCCTTCATCCTTCCATCTGGAGCAGATGGGGACAACACCACTGGACTGTCCTGCAGCACTCCAGAGGTGCTGCTGGAAAGTGCAGGAGACCAGGACAAAACCCCCAATTCCTGCTGCTCCCAGCTTGCAGACAGGAGCTGCAGTGACTGTTCCTAGAACCTTCTGGGGGCAGAGGGGATGGAAGGGTACCCTCCTGGCCGACACTGGACACAGCAGTGGCCACGCTGCCCTGCCTTCCCATCGCCCAGCCACAGAGGAGCTGCCCTGATGCTGCTGGGTTAAACACCATTTTCTTCAGCTTCCAGCACCGAGTGTTGCAGCTGGAGGTCCTGAGCAGTGTTCAACAGGGAGATTCCAGCAGTCTCAACATGCACTGGGAGCTGGGTAAATAAACTACAGCGAGTAGCTGTTCTAACTCCTCAAGAGCCTTTGCCTCGGAGACCACCGCTCTCTCTCGTGGAGCTCTAAGCCATTCCCTCAATACATCCTGGAAGTAAATTTGTCTGCTGCCTACTCGCAAGCAAGTCAGATAATAGTTCATATTTTTCTTGGCAAGATGAGCTTCATAACTGGGTTCTAGCAAATATACTCTGGGATTTATACACTCATTTCATATGCCATCAAAATTCTACAATATTTGACCGAATTTTTCTTTTTTGGCAAGCACTCTTGCCAGGAAGTTCATTAGCCAAGATTTGCAAAACTGGAGGAAAAAATCAATGTTAGCACAGGCAAAGCAAATTCATTTGCTGATTAATTCAGGGATTGCTGGTATTTTCTTTAGCCCCAGTTGTCACTGGCTATACACAGAATGTGGCAACTGTTGAATCTCAAAGCCTTTAGTGCCACTCACAAAGCAGGCTGAAACTGTGGCCAGGCTGGAATTTCACTAAGCACAGGGAGGCATTTTGCTGAAAAATCCAGAATTAACCCTCATTTTTTAAAAATGTAACCATTAAAAATAAGACACATGGCCTTTTTCCTCCTGCATTTTCAGTTTTCATTTTCTGGCATCCTGGGCCCCTTCCTCCCAGTTCTTGCTGCTCCCTTCAGCACCCTCATGGTCCACCTTGGCTGGAGAGGGGGGACTCCCTGGCAGCCCAGCATGCCCCCGAGCTCCTGTTTCACCTGCTCAGTCACCTGTGCCCTGGCCCAGAGCTGGGGCTGGCACTGTGTCCTGGGGCAGCGGGGATCCCTGCCAGCCCACCAGCAAGTCGGGGAGCAGACGAGGGAGTTGGGGGTCCCTTGCAGGGGTTTGCTTCACAGGCACCTGCTGGTGAGGTTGGCAACCCATCAGGGCCTCTCCTCCACCACCCAGCCATTTGAAAGAGCGATGCCAGCAGGGAGGGGAGCTCCAGCACCATGAACTCACGCAGGGTGAAGAGGCAGACTGAAATCCTGCAGATGAGAAGGGTTTGCACAATGCCAGTGCCAGTGTGCCACACCACGCCGCCTTGGCAGCACTGGGTGCCGTGTCAGGAGGGAATTCCTGCCCCATCCACACTGCTGGAGTGTCCCAGCTGCACTGACAACTTCAAAACCAGTATAAATCCTGGAGGCTAAACGGGCTGTGTGTTTGGTGTGCAGGGGCTCCAGATGAAGCAGCACAGAAGGAAGCAGAATGACCAATCCTCCTTCCAACCAGTGTCCAAGGCCAGGCTGGCAGGGCTTGGAGAAACTCAGCCTAATGGCAGGGTCCCTGCCCATGGCAGGGCTGTGGAATGAGGTGAGATTTAATGTCCCTTCCAATCCAAACCAGTCTGATTCTATCATTCCATGAACCAGAGACATCCAAGCAGCTGTGCCAACAGTGCTGCGAGGGTGACCAAGCACTCAGTGCCATGTCAGAAGCATTCACCATGCCTGAGACAGACACACACCCACCAGAGCCCGAGAGCAGCCCCACCAACCACCACCACCCTCCTCCTGTAATTACAAAACAAACTATGCAACAAAATAAATGAGGTTGGTAATTTGTTATCGTTCTGCTGCTCCAGCAGCATGCTGAGGGTTGTAAATTAGGTGCTGTATTAAAAATGACAGAATCACTGTGAGTTCTGCACAGAGAGGGGGATTTCACTGAGGTGTTTGTGCATCTCAGCATTCGCACACAGCAACAGCATAGAGGGAAACAGCAACACAGAAAGACTGAGGGGCCACGATGCTGCTTAATAATGCACAAGGACAGAAATCAGAGGGGGAATTCTTATGTGGGTGCAGGGTGTGCTGGAGCAGGGTCCTGACAGTGGCAGCAAGGCAGGAAGATGAGGGGACGTGGCACCAAGTCCCCAGGCAGTGGGCAACAGGTAGTGGGCAGACAGCAGAGGGTAGCAGGCACTGGGCATCCTGAGAAAGCCACATCCCCACAGGGAGCCCTCCTGAGCTGTTCTGCTGCTCCTGCACGAGCAGTTCTGAGCCATCCTCAAACAGGTGCATCACGTCTCTGGATGCCCTCTGTCACCCTGGCCCGAGGGGCACGAGGGGCCCATGAACAGGTGGAGGTGGTCAGAGCCATCACCTGTGCAGCACCTTGGGGAGCAGAGCACCCAGTGCGTGCCAAGGGCAGCAGAAGCACGGCGAAAGGGAACACAGGGACAAAGTCCTGGCAGGTCAGGATGATGCTGGGATTGCAGACCAACACAGCCAGAACAATCCAATGAGCCTGGAAAGCAATAACTGAAGTGCTGCCTGGCTGAAACACACAGAGCAGCATCTCAGACACTGCTTGTTTATGACCCTTTGCACTCCCAAAGGGCTTTATGGGGTGATCCCACACTCTGAGGCAGGGTTACCCTCCCTCCCTCTGTTCTGCTGAGCACACAGCCCTGTATGGATTATTGAGCTCCTCATTTGCCACGCACTCTGGGCAATGGCAGTCTGCGTGCTGAGAGGACAGCCTGCCGATTACTCAATTTCCAGGTGCATTGTTAAGGTGGCACATCGAGTACACACACATCAACAGCCCACGGAAACCCTGTTTGCTTCAGACTCACACATTATGCAAAGCAAAGAAATTACTACAAAGAGGGCTCCCCCCCATTTGTTAGCAGGTTCAATTACTGGGCCACTTAACCTGTTTTAATGTTCATCTTATTCTTGCTCCACATGAAAGCTTTATTGCCAGCACACCATGATCATATAAATATAAGCTAAAGCCTGAGCCTGCTGAAGAGTTTTGGTTCCAGAGGTGAAGCAGAGGAGCACAGCGAGAGTAACTGCATGGGAAGGAAGCCAGCATGCACCATGCTGTGGGTGGATACATCTCCATTGCCGTTGCAGGGACAAATTAACTCCTGGGTTTCATTAAAGGTGAGAAGTCTGCTTTAGCTCTCCTGATGCCAGCATGACACAGTGAGGCTTAGCGAGGCCCCTGTCCCCCAGCACGCACAGACAGCTTGGGAAGAGAGTCTGTCTTTGTTTGTATTTGCCTCCATCAGTCACACATATCCAAATGGTTGGGAGAAAATATGGCCACATCTAATTTCTTTCCAGGAGTCAAACAGCAGCTTTCATTCAGGCACTGTGCTGTTTCCTCAGCAAGAAGCAAGGCTGCATTGCAGGGCTGACAAACACCCCTGGGCACCAGGGTCACCCAGCACCCTGCCTGCCCCTCCTGGGGCTCCACAGAGGCACATCAGCTTGGGCTGGCCTCGTCAGCAGGTGTAGAAATTAAACACATCACACTTCAGCAGCTCTTTGACCACATTGCTTTGGAATGGCCACTACAGCTTGGTCATAAAACACAGAAAAAATGTATGCCAAAACTTTAGGAAACTCATCAAAATAGCACCAAAATTTCAGTCTGACTCTATGACTTTCATGCTGTTCCTTGATTCTCTTTTAGACTTCATGAAATATATGAAATACATGAAAACTTTTTCCTGAATTTGAAAGAGATATCCATTTAAGCAGACACAGAGATGCCATCATGATTTAGTAGAACAATTCATATAAAATCAAAAATTTCAGTAGGCTTTCTCAATCACACTCTGTCTTTACATATGTAGAAGAGAAAGATCTACTTAGCTGTTCAACACTTTTCAAAGAGTAACATAATAAGTGAATTGATAAGTAGTGAAATCATTAACTGTCATATAAAGATTATTAGTCTGGTGCTTGGTCATACAATTAAATATAATATTTGTTTCTCTGTTTCTGTGCAAGACGATAAGATTTCCCTTGTGAATATCTAAGCAGTGACTGATAACATGAGGACAACTGCTCTGGGTGGCCAATATAATTCATTACTAACCATGCATGTCATTAAAACTAAATTTTGCAATTACCTTAAGTGACCTCAAATGCTAAGGCAGAAGGTAATATTTAGGTGTGATTACAATAAACATGCATAAAACTATCCCCAAACCAGGTCACCCATTAAAATAAAAAAGAAAAATCAGAACTCATTTGAATAATACTGAGATGTAAAGCTGCATTAATATTTTGTTGTGTGTTCTGTGATGGACGGTAAGAGAGGTGTGATTACATCCGGAGATATGAATTTATAGTTCTCATTTCTGGATGATACAGCCAGGAACGCATTAATAACAACTGAGGATCAATCAAAACCAGAAATGCTTTCTGAAAAAGGGGTAATTGAGAAACAGAAAACTAGACACCTACAACAAATGGTTCTTGAGAGAGAGACATTATTTCTGAAATATGTTGACTGTTATCTAATTAGCTGGAGGAAAACATCCCGGTGGCTGGACTCCCAGCACCAGCCTGGCAGTGTTGCTCAGAAGTGCTCATTAGCCGAGGAGCCGTGGTGGGCTGGAGCAGCCTGTGAGCCTGCAGAGGAGCTCAGTGACTCAGGAACGTTCACCCCTGGGAGACAACGAGCGCCTCCAAGAGCAGCAGAATTTGGAGACCTCGGGCTCACCCAGAGCCTCTAGCACAGATCGTTTCTCTCAGTCACGGTGGAATGTCTGTGGAGCACTCGCTCGCTGCTGTCTCTGGTTACGTGACCAGCCTCAGGGCTGTCTCAGGATGAAACCATCCGCTCCAGCGAGGACAGCGATGCTCACCCCGTCCCCTGCTTCACCAGGCTGTTTCACCAGCTCGCACAAAATCTCTGTGATAGCCCTGACTGCAGCCAGGGCTAATGAGAAAGCAGGGAGGCCCTAACAACAGGAAGGAGCTGATCCAGGTCAAGCAGCTCAGCTGTAATTGAGCTGTGTGAATGACCAGGATTTTCCTCCCAGCAAAGCTGGGTTCTGTCACGGTGCCCCATGTGCCTGGTTCTCAGGGCTGCTGCCACATCCTGATGTAACACTATTCCTGTCTGGTTTTCCAGCCCAAGATCTTCTTTCCATTCATTTTTACCACAGCATCCCTGTATACCCAGGCCTCACAGCAGCAAACCACCATTGCACAGACAACCCAGCACTGCCATGCTTATTGAATCCATTGAATGCTTCCTTGATCACCTGAATTTTGGTGATCCAAACTCATTTAATGTCCCCAGGAGATTCAGTTCATCAAGGTGGTACAATATGTGATCTACAGGATGTGATGTTAAATTGACTACAAGATAATTAGATGCTAATGTCACCACTGTGTCAAGATGACAAGAATGTCACCCTCTACCACATCTGTGTAATTTCTGAGTGACTGCAATGTCACCTTGGAGGTTGTGTAAGGCACCCTGATGACATGATTGCAGGGTTGCCCCATGCAGGGTGGGCTGTTCAGGTGTGAGCAGGCACCATGAGAACTGCAGGGGTGGAAAACTGTCCCACCTACCACAGCACAAAGCCTGCAGCCAAGGGTGAGGACATAAATTCTGGCCTCAAACATGTTAATTAAAGTCCTCCTGAAGAATGAGGACAAAACATGAGATATTCTTCTACACTCCCTATTTAAATGCCAAAGACACATACAATTATAAAATCACTGGCTTGGGTTAAAAGGGGCCTTAAACTTCATCCAGTTTCACATCCTGCCCTGGCAGGGACACCTCCCACTGTCCCAGGTGCTCCAGCCCCATCCAGCCTGGCCTTGGGCACTGCCAGGGATCCAGGGGCAGCCACAGCTGCTCTGGGCAACCTGTGCTTCCTGAGCTCTGCCCCAGGCCAGACACCTGGATTTCTCCCAGGGTGGATTTGGGTGACAGCTGCCTCTGGGGAGCCCCATCTCCTCACTCCTGCAGGTCTCCCCACCAGCTGCAGCCACAGGAGCCCAACACCAGCCCCTGCCAGTGCAAATGGGGAAAGTCCAGACAGCAACAAATACCTGGTGTGACAAGGAGAGGCTCTTCACCAGGAACTCCACACTGCCAGCAAGGACTTCACATGATGATTCCATCCCTGACTCCTCAGTGAAGCAGCTGCAATAAAAGGCTGCAATAAAAGATTTCAATGGCTTTTGCAGCATCTGAATCAAGACCAGCTCCTGTCTCATGTGATCTAATGAGAGGGTACATGAGAGTTCAGCACCCACCACACATGCATACCTTCTGCTTTTATGGGGTCTGATGTGCAGAAACTGTTCTCTACCACAAACCTGAAGTCATTTTAATCTCACCTCCAGCTCCTGTCCCATACCTCCAGCTCCCATCCTACAGCTCGGGCTCCCAGGGACACGGCCTGTGCCCACAAACACCATTTATCCATGCATGTGACCAGTTAGGTACGTAATTATCACTTTATATTCACTCTCAGCTGGAGCTTTTGAGTGCTGGGCATGTTCAGAGGCTTGACACTGAAACACGCAGAGCAGTGCATTAAGGCATCAAAAAGGGTAACCTAAGAGTCATTGCCATGGCTACGTGTCAGCTTATTTTGCAGTATAATATGTTCTATGAAATATGTAGGATTCTATTCAATATATATCATTTGTTCTTAGCATTTCCTTTCTGATAATAGCCTTTTAATGATAATCATGGTCTTTTAATGACTGTAATAATTAGACTCTTATAAATCAACAA